CTAGATGTTGGAGAATCTGCCATAGAGATTTCTGAGTCAGCAGGCTTTACTAGCGTAGCAATCCGCTACAAGATAACGTGGCAATCGTAATTAATCTACTGATCAAAGCATTTCTCTACACTTCCAACTCGAACAATGGCTTTGTATGTAGCGTGTCAGTTAACCAAGACAGAAACGAAGAGGGTGTCCGCATTTTCAAATTGCTTTATAAGAAAGGAAAGCCCATCCCATTTTGCTTCTCTTCATGAACTCAGCAATAACTGGGGTCTTAGGATATTGGCTCACCAAAAATCCTAGACCATTGTCAAGGTGTTTTCTTAATGATCATACTCTCCTTATCCTTGTCTTCTCTCGTCCTTTTATCCATTTCCATAATTTTTTTCTGAGGATAGTAGCTTAGGACAGGAGGTTATACCATTCCTATCTTGACCTTTTCAGGCAGGTTTGTAGAACATGCTCATTCTATGCACGTAGTAGCTGAAAGTACGCCAATGAATTTCAACTCACTGGGTAAATATTTAACAACGTAATTTTGTCGATGCAACCTATCTTAGTGAATTCTCTACTAGGAAATCTAAGCAAACTTCTTTATAAATGGCGTCAAAGTTTAACCCATGCTTATGAAGTTAAAAGCATGCATCAGATCCACGTTTGCGATCGATACAAACAAGGCCATGCATTCGCTTAGGTCAGAGGTAAGCGAACCACACTGGCGTGACACGGATGAATCGAAAAACGCCACAACAGAGAGAGGCCAGCAGGAAAACTTCATTTGAGCCTCTTAAGAGTGAAAAGTATTACCTTTTGAGTCGCCTTGGAGACGGAGGATTTTGTGAAGTTTTCAAAGCCAAAGATCTCGAAAACAATCGGTATGTGGCCATAAAACGCGTGGACAGAAGTAAACGTGCCTTTGCAAAGTATGCGCCCAAAGAGGTGGAAAAGAAGGTAAAGAAACTGATGTATCGTGAAGCCAGCATTATGAAGGCACTAGATCACCCTAATTTAATCAAATACTATGATATGGTTGATGATGGGGATGAAATTTTTATCGCAATGCAATTAGCTGAGGGTGGTGAATTGTTTGATAGAATTATCAAACGAGGAAAATTCACCGAAAAAGATGCGGCTACTATCATTGCTCAGGTTATCACAGCAATAGTTTTTATGCATGAAAGGGGTTATGTGCATCGAGATATCAAACCCGAGAACATTTTGTTCGAAAATACTAGTGAAGACTCGAAAATCTATATCGCGGATTTTGGGTTATCTCGGGAGATTGAAGAGAAAATGCTAACAAATTGTGGAACCGTAGATTATTCTGCCCCGGAATTACTTAAAAGTAAATTAACAAAAAGCGGATATGGACCAGAAGTTGATAATTGGAGTATTGGTGTTGTTGCCTATATTCTCTTATGTGGTTATCCGCCTTTCTACTCATCTAGCCAAGACGACAGTGAAATAAAGAGGCAAATCATGGCTGGAACCTACCATTTTCATCATCCACATTGGGACAACATATCTAAGAATGCCAAAACTTTCGTGGCTGGATTGTTGACAGTTAATCCCGCAGAGCGACTATCACTCAAAAAGGCTTTAGAACATCCATGGATTAGACAAGAATGCCCAAGTGCCGTAGATATTTATCCATTGATAGAAGAACGTCTTAAGGATACAATTGCGAAACAGCGATGGCGGTGTTTGGGGTTGGCTGCTGAAGCTGTTCAATTACTATCTGTTAGAAGTCACTCATTGGTTGAACGCAGACCATCAATCAGGGAAACACTAGTTGTGCCTGGTTAGTAGAGGCCAGTTCCATTACCTCGTACCACTCAGAAAATTTAAGTTTATTCTTTTTTTAGTCACATCGTTTTCTCTATCCTTTATTATACCACTAATTTTAAATTTGTGCCGAAATGAATGAATACTAGATATAGACAGTTTGTTCGATTTTATTCAAAACTCATTTACAAAACAACACCTCATTGACATTTTTTCTTACTCTTCTTTTCAAAAGGGATCCAAAATTTAAGATCCAAGAAAACGAACTTGAAAATTTCTACAGAGTATATCACTAAATTATTTTTCTGTAAAAAAATTTTAGCCTAATTGCTTTATTTATGTCCTATTGATGTCTAAATTGCAAGCGTCGTAATTTCATGATTTTGATTTAGGTTCGAAATTCAATATTGACAAACATATTGCCTTTAAAATTTGCTAATGAAAGCTTCTTATTTGAAAACCAAAATTGTGCAACTTCGTCACTTCAACTTATGGTACCTTTTAAAATGCTACAGATACGTAAATTTTTGGATTTATGAAAAGAACTGTTTTCTATTTAAGCCATAATCGACTTTAATTTCGAATTAAGACGAATGAACTATGATAAGTTTCGAAGTAATCTAATGTAGAAGTTTGCTCAGTTAAGACTAATACAAAATGGAGAAACGCAGTCTAGAGAATGATATAACATATTTATTGGTAAAATATTCGATTAAGATGGTAAAGCCATTGTCTTAGTTTGTACAAAAACAAATATATAGTTTATGGAATATAGACAGCCCCATGTTTGAACAGTATTCCATAGCTGATTGTGACAGTCAGTGAATAATAGAAAGTTAAGACTAAACAGTCACACAGAGTAATAAATTTCCATAGCTAATCTTACTGACTTCAAAGTGGCTAGCGATCAAAATTTAAAATTTAACTAGCAATTGCATGGTTAGCAAACAAACAGGAAAGGATTTAAAATATCTTTCCTGTAGCAACAGAAACTATTGAGGTAAACGACTAATGAGGAAGTGTTGTTTCTCAAAAGAATTTCATCGAAGCACGAGCATACTACAAGGGGAATATTTTATACTAGGGTGCAAGGCTATCAAGCACTTAGCAATGACAAATACAGCAATTATTCAGGCCTTTAATAAATACCTTACACCAGCTAACTAACTTGATTGTAAATTTTATTCTGTTCAGTACATTGTACCTCTAAAGACACTACCGGTCCACAGCTATGCTTTTATCACGCAGTAGCAACTGTTTGTATTAATAAAATTCTTTATAGCCAAGTGGATGCAAATCGATCTATCCATAAGTCGATGACAGCATTGGTCCTAACCCAACGACATAGGTTCCATCGTTGATTAAGTAAGTTTAACCAAGAGCAACCTAACAACCATCGATTGATCGTACTTTCGGTCTTGTCCCAGCACCCCTGTTTAATTTAATTTGAAAATAAATACCTCGCTCTTTCGGTTTATTAACCAACGCTCTTGCCTCAAGAGAACCTCTCTCCTGAAGTTAATTGCAAAAGAAATTTAATTGAAAAGCATTAAATAGTTAATGAAATGATATTTTATTCACGTTTGGGAAAATGATTGGTAAAATTCAAAATCGCACGTGGTAGTAGTCCATCACTTTTTCAAAGTACATCACTTTCAATGCCTGATATCACTGTTTCGCCATCTGCAAAGATAATCAGAATCAAAATGTGCGCAAACAGATAACACATTCGACTTTTTCACATATTGGAATGTGGAACTTTAATGGTTTAAAGGAAAGAATTGAAGCCCACGTGGGAAGATGCATCGATGTCTGCTTTAATTGATAAATCAAAATAAATTCCTATACCACGTTTCCACCATTACGGTTAAAGATATTCACAAATACAAGTATTCGTGAAGTGTTGTATGAAATACCTTATGAAGACTTAATTAGCACATCATTATTATCAATCACCTTTTTAATCACGGAGAAGCATTTGAACACGAGATACAATGAAACATTCCAATAATGTCTGGAACTGGGGGAGGGCCAAGAAGAGGCAAAGAAGGAAATTTAAACTTCAAAGAGATTTATTCATTAAATTTCAGAAGCAATAAACTATCATTTTACTCAGTGGAATTATGCTTCACTGTATAACAGATTACTGGTTGAGCCTATATCTACGTTATGATATTCAGATAATGGAATGGAGATGTTTATCAAGTTTACGTGAAAATAGTTTTACTACTCTTTGATCACCGATGAAATAAGGCAGACATTGCTCACATTTTTGTGGCTAATGCTTTAATTTCGGACAAATTCGTCCTGTAGTAACTCAATCTGTTCTATCTGTTTGAAGTGACCAAACATTCGAACCACTTAAAACCACACGAAAGAGAGCATTAGTTAGATAAGTTATATCTCTAAATGAAAACTTCGAGGTTAATTATGTTGAAGTAGCGAGCTTGTTGTAGAACCTTGTTGGTGATTCGGGTTATTGGACTATTATGTTGAATTAGAAGACTAATGGAATTCACTCTCTCAGTTGTTTTAGGCTGAACTTGTAAATCACAGAATTTTCTGGGTTATACAGTAAGAAGCATTACATAATGAATGTATATTAAAAGTTTGACGCAAATGGTTATTTAGCGAAAACATTAAGTACATATTACATAGAATAGCCTGTAGCGGATCGCTACTCTAATAAAGCCTGACCGACT